GAGGGTGGTAGGGAGCGAGGTCGTGACAGTTGTAGTGGTGTCTCAATTTAACATAATATTCTGAGAATTTGAGAGCCAATCACAAAGATATTTGAGTTTTTGTTTGATCACTACACAGTCGAGTTGGAACATATATTACATTAAAGATTGAGGTTTTGGATCTGATTACAGATAGTCTTCTTAAATATGGTTTTTTGTTAAAATTCATTTCTGGGATTCTTCATCTTAGAGGTATACCTGATTGAATCCAATGGCACTTCAGGCATACTACCTTGAGGACAGGCAGAAGATTGGAAACCTTAGGGTCCACTGTGAAACCTTCCTTCTTTTTTTTTTTTTAGGGTAAATGTAAACATTTGTTCTCAAATAGCGAGTGATAATCATGAGATCGGTGTATTGGTTGCAGAAAAATTCAAGTTCGTAGTTTCTGTGTTCGTTGGGCTTATGAAGCCGATATCAACGAAGTTCACACTCTGTGAATTTTCATTCATTTGCATTATCGTCGACTTCTTTATTTGCAAACCAAGACTTGGGAATGTGGTTAAGCAATAACAGAGACTTTTTGCTGCAAAAACGAGCTTTTAAACAGGTTAATTCATTAATCTTTGTAGTTAAGGCTCTATAGGATCTGAAGTCGACACACCAAGCCCATTCTCTTATGAGATGAAAAAAAAAAAGAAGAAAAAAGAAAAAAAAGAAGAATAAGAGCGACCTAGGAAGCAGCTAAAAAAAAGGTCAATAAATGCTACTTTGGTAGAAAAGAGTGGAAAATTCAGCTAAACTCTGGTCACCATCCTTAGCAGACATGACCATTCTTAGTAGATATAGCAAATTGGAGAATTACATTGCATTGGCAAATAAAAGAACCCTATTATTAAACTGGTTTGGGTCCAAAACACACAGGAGAAATACAATGGTAATAAAACCCTATTATTAAACTGGTTTGGGTCCAAAACACAGGAGAAATACAATGGTAATAAAACCCTATTATTAAACTGGTTTGGGTCCAAAACAAGGAGAAATACAATGGAAAATTACTCATTGCTAAAATTAGGCACATTAAACAATCACGAATCTTTTGGATTGTGGCTCAAAAAAATGGAGTGAAAAATTGAATACATAAATGACATGAAATTGTGGAAATTATAGAAATCGTGCACTTAATTTTAGGTACAATATTTTCCTTCCTTTTATGCGTACCATATTAGGAAGGTGGTTTATTTCATATGTTACTTTTTTTAGGTAGTTCACAGCTTTGTAACTCTATAAATTGAGGCTCTTGTTCACATCTTCAATAAGCGATAAAATACATTTTTCATGGGGGCTTAAGGCCTAAATATACAAAAATACAGTTTTGCACATGGTATCAGAGCTAAGTTTGTCTCGACCAAATCTATTTTGACCAAATCTACAATTCACAACTCTGATTTACGATCTACCGTTATTCAGGTCAACCATCAACCACCTAAATCCTAAAGGCCCCTCAACCACTCCAAATCAACAGGCCTCCATGTTAGTTGTGTTCCTCTATTGAATGTAAGTCTCCCTTTCCAATTTCAATACAAATTTTCATCGTAAATTTCGTTGCAAATTTGCAACGTTGCAAATTTCTCCACCTTCGTTGTCTCTCAGCAAAATGTCAACCTTTCAAATTGCAAACCTTCCTTTGCATCGTTCCAAAAGCTTTCACTCTTACCATCGTTGCAAATCTTCTTTGAAAGTTTCGTTGTTGCAAAACTTTCTAGGACGCCTTTATTTGAAAAATCTTGGCCTTCTTGTGGCAACTTGAGAATCTTGTTGCAAATTTCGTCTCGTCTTCCATATTTGCTCAATCCAATAGAATCCACATCAACACTGTGTGAAGCGGCGTCTTGTTTTGACTCTCTGATCTGTCTCTTTGCCAAGTTGTGTTTCGACTTTCTGATCTATTTTGGATCTTACTGTTCTCAACTCTGAATCTAAGGTCCAATTGTGCTTGTTGATCTGCCGTTGATTTTTGTTGGCTCTTCCAAGCGCCTCCTTTTTGATGATTAAATTTCTTAATCCTGGTTGATGATCAAGCTTTCCGTTACTCGATCATATTTAATGATTGGGTTTTCTGTTACTCAATCCTATTGAGTGATGGAGTTTTTCGTTAATCCATCCCACATGACGATCTCATGTTTGTTCTGTTGATCCGAAGGCCTGTTGATTTGCTGTTATGCGAGACTGCTCTATTTGAGGTGTTGGTTTCTGAAGATCGCTAATTTGCAACTGCTCAAGCTTCTATTCCTGCTTTGTTTCTAAGACCTGCTTCAAATTGCCCAAACTCAAGTTGCTATCTCTTAACTCATCTTGAGTTTGAGGGGGGGTGTGGAAATTATAGAAACCTGCAATTATATTTTGGTACAATATTTTCCTTCCTTTTTTGTGCAACCCATATTAGGAAGGTCATTTATTGTATATGTTAATTTTTTTAGCAATATACAGTTTTATAACCCAATAAATTGGAGCTCTTATTCACATCTTCAATAAGCTTTGAAATACATTTTCTATTGGGGCTTAAGGCCCAAATATACATAAATATAGTTTCTTACATAAATAAAGTTGCAATTATAAGTGGGTAGAAAAAATTATTTTATTCGGAGGACATAATATATTATTGAACAATAATATTATGTCGAGATTGATATTTGATATCATATAAACATCTACATGATAAATTTTTTGTAGAAATTTTTACTTTACACAATGGCATGGTTTCTTCCAACAAAACATATAATGGTGTTCTTTGGAACACATAAAGAGAAAACAACGACAGTAATCATCATGATCGTTAAAGCTTTTTTTCATCTAATTGAAGTCAGTTCCATGAATCTTGATCTGCCATATTGATCTATTAAGGGTCATATCCTTAGTGAGGCCATAAGTCTCTATATATTTTTGCACTACTTTCAACCATGTCCTTTTGGGCCTAACCCATGCCCTTTTTGAGTCTTCGATCTGAATTAGCTGACATTATCTTAACAGGTGTTATGTTGAGTCTCAGAGTTCATATAAGAGATAAGTTATTCTTCTCTCATGGATATTGTGATGATGAGAACAACAATATGACGTACAAGATTGGCCTAAGGAATAAAAGGACCACATTATAGGATTCACAAATAAAAAAAAAGGACCCAAAACTCTAAAACTGTAATAAAGTGATCTTTCCAAATTGCTGTCTTGATTGCTATACACAAGACACAAAAGACCCGGAGAAAGGCTAGACTAAGTGAAACTTTTTATACAAAGAGAAAGTAACAAAAGACTCACTTGTACCGACTCAGGCATTCAAATATGCAAAAACTTTTATAAAGAGCTTGAAATATCGTCCCCAATTCCTCCACTTGAATCTTAAGCTGTCTTAATCATTTTTTCTTCTACTCTAGAACTAGGCTATTGGTTTAAAGAAAAAGATTTTTCCTTCCTCAACCTCGAGCAGTTATTTTTTAAGAATATGGTTATTCTTAAGAATATTTTAATTTCACCTTTTTTTATTTAATTTCTTGATTTCTAAATTTTGACATTTCTCTCCTCATTACAAATGCATTGCGAAATCAAAATCAATTATTATTATTTTTTGCCATTCCCAAGGTAGACGCCACGTCGTCCTTGCAATACCAATTTATTTAGTGAATGTCAAAAGATATTGTACCCCATCGGGAGCATACTATCCTCGGGTAAAACCCACTAAAGGATTAGTTTTAGGACCCAAAATTTGGAGGTATAACCTTTTCAACACATAGATTTTCGTCAATATAAAGAAATTCCTAATTGCATCCTCTGAGTACTCGAAAAAAATAAGGTCTTAAGATTGAATAGGAGCTGTTTAGAGGATGAGATCTAAATGTTAGAAAAATCAAAATTTCAAATTCGGTTTTTTTTAGTATAGTTATCTAGTGATTCTAAGGTAGGTATCAAAATTTCAGATTGAAAAAATCTCCCAAGGACCTCGTTTGACCGAGGGAATAGAAGAAAACTATAGTCCCGTGGGAGCATAATTTTTATGGTTTTGGCTTATGAATTTGCCATAGAATTTTATGATCCTTGGAAATGTTTTAGTCGTGCTGATTCTTGGTAACTTTTGTTCTCTGTCCTTCAATCATTTTTCCTAAGTGCATTTTAATAAGTTCTCTCCAATGGAGGGCATAGTTCCGTAAAGAGACTTTAAAGCACGTGGCATTTCCGTCAATACAATGTAATTATGTAATAAGTGAAGACCATAGAATCCCGCCATTTTCAAGAAAAATTACTAATACAATAAATATACGGATACTTAAAAAAGAGAAATTATATGAAAAGTCGGTCAATTCGTGTTTTTAATTTTATTTTTTAAAAATTACCCTTTAGTCCTCATATTGCTTTTTAATTTAATTTTTTTTCTTCGTATGTAGAGTAGTGCTCTAGTATTAGGGGCACCGCCTAATCAAAAAAACCAGTCTAAGATTGACACTCTTGGACCTCCTTATTTTTTAGCCAACAAATGAGCTAATCCGGTCTAAGGATGCTAACATTGGACCACCTTGAAGAGCATTAAAGATAGCAGTTCGAGAATGGGCAACTTGAAATGCTTAACAAAGTCGGTGTTTGCTGTCCTAGGATGCCAACCTCGAGCCACTTTGAAGAACACCACAGAATGCAGTCCAATAGTACTAACATTTGATTGACTAGGCACAACTCAACTATTGAAAAAACTTAAAAAGATAAATTAAAACGTGTTCCGAAAATACAATACTCATACAAGGGCCAATTTTGTAAATAATAAAAAACCGTATGTTAACCGACTTTCCCTGCAATTTTCCTAATTTAGGTAAGGGGTTTCTTTTTGTAATTTTCTCTAATTTAAAAACTCTTTTCGTATTTCAGTAATTTTTTAATATCCGTACGTAATTCACTCAACACTAAACCGTTAGCTCTCATTGTAGAGAGAGAAGCTGTTGCATTCTGCCTTTTATTCGAGAGAGAGAATGTTCTCCTTCAAGGACTAATTCGTATCAGAGCTCTTCCGCCTCATCGTTTTACTTTCTTGTAAGAGGGAGAGGGAGAGGGAGAGGGAGAGAGATCTCTCTCGAAAGACCCTTGTCAGTGTCTCTGCCCTTTGGTTTCTTGCGTTCTTGCTTTCTTCTTGTTACCGATTCTAGAGAGAGAGAAAGAGAGTGCAACTTTCTTTACCAAGAGAGACATAGCAGAGTGTTTCTGCAAATGGGGTTCTTTAGGTTTGTAGTTCCCGATTGAGAGAGACGGCGATCATCCTCGTCTTCGCAAAAAGAACCATAGCAGAGCAGTTTCACCATTTGGGTTTCTTTGAACTAAAGATTGTAGAGAGGGTGGTCATCTTTTCTTGGAGATTATAAAGAGAGATTACAGCTCCTGTTTCTTACCTCTACCGAAACAAAGAACATCCATTTCAGAAGCAAACGATGCATTTTTCTCTCTGGGCTTCCTCTTCTTGCTGATTCTAGAGAGAGAAAGAGAGAGAGAGAGAGAGAGCAATCTATCCATAGCTAAAGAAACTCATCTGAGAAAGAATGCTTATTGAGAGAGCAGAAACCATGGGGATGCCAACCATTTATGAAGGGGACAGTGGAAGTGGTGATGAGCACGATAAAATAGAGGAGGAGAGTGAAAAACCAGAGGAAGAGAGAAAGAAAACAGGGTATTTGAGAGAAAAGATTGAGAAAGAAACAGTGGAGATCAAGAAAAAGAATGCGCGACGGTATGCCGAGAAAGGTAAAGGTAAAGCAGAGGAGATAGATATTGCAGAGGAGAAGAGAAAGATGATGGAGGAGATGAGATACTTAATGGTGGATCGTCATGAAACGGTTGATTTGGGGGTGATAATGGTGGTGGATGGCAAGTTCGAGGCCGTTGTGTATGATGAAAAAGCCCCCGAAGTCACTTCGAAAGTTATACTCCGGACCTTTCATACACAACAGATTGCAGAACGTGCACAGGAACTTAGCATGCTCAATCACAGCGATGAAGTACTGATGGTATTGGAATTAGGGCATGTGTTTCGGGAGTTTAATGGAGAAGAGGAAGAGAGAGTGTGGAGGAAAATGAAAGAGAGGGAAACCAGGAGAGAGAGAGAGGGTGGAGAAGAGAAAGTGAAGAATGATGGAGGGGTTCAAGTTTTGGAGTCCGAGAAGAATACAGGCTTGTTTCAAATGTTGAAGAATGGCCTCAAGAAGATCCTGGCGTGTGGATCCCAAGAAGAAGATAGGCTTGTTTCAACAGTTGAAGAATGGCCACCAGAACTTGCTCGTATGTTTCATGTCTTTCATTTTTCTTATACCACTCTCTCTCTCTCTCTCTTCTCNTCTCTCTCTCTCTCTCTCTTCTTCTTCTTCTTCTTCTTCTTTCTTCTTCTTCTTCTTCTTTACTTCTTACTTACTTCTTT